AACAAACTAAAAGACTTTAGGGGATGGCGAGATTCGTAGGTAAAATATGAGTTCATTTTATAACCGACGTTGTCCACGGCGTCGCCGTCGTCATTTCCTAAACTCCCTATTGGTGAGAGAGACACGCGCCGCCTTCAGCATTTACTGACTGTGTCTTGCATCAGTTGTTTCTTGTGAATTATACATTTGTGTTTTCTTTGTTTGTTTGTTGGTTTGTATTGGTAAATAATTTTTTGCGTATGATCAAGCCGTTTAACTAGGCGACACACGCGGTAAGTTTTGACAGATGATGGTAAATTATGGGAATAAGTGGAAAAATACAGTCGTGATTGGTTCTTTCACTTCTCCTCTCCCACCAGATATCGATGAATGCACTGAGAGGAGGTCTGGTTGCAGTCAAATCTGTGATAATACACCAGGATCATATGTATGTCGCTGTAGAAGAGGTTTTAGACTGGCGGCCGATAAACGATCATGCATAGGTAAAGTTAAGTGCAATGACCATAATAAGGAGAGATTCAGAGTAGAAGCTATTCACTGCAAACCCTAAACACGTTTGTTCTCGTTCTCTTCCAATAGATGTGAATGAGTGTCTAAATTCTCCATGTTCCGGTAGAGCTACTTGTAGAAATACATTTGGTTCTTTTGTTTGCCGGTGCAAACGAGGATACGAGCTGCTTGCCGATGGACTGACATGTAGAGGTATTGTTTGAAAATGAATGGAAATTTTTTTATAAAATCGCGCGAAACATCGTGACGCTCAAAACTCACGCTATAACTAACTTCGATCACAATCACTCGACATTCCGCAGAGTACAGTGGGGTGAATTTTTTTGGGCTTCTATCATTTGACAATAACTGCCTTTGATAAGCCTGAGCCAATTCTTATTGGCTCACATACAATTTTTGCGAATCTAATCAGAAGTCTTGAATAAATTACTGAATGAACCATTTGTAATGGCATTTGTTTCACTTTTGATGGTTTACCAGACAGAAACGAATGCAACAGCGTCACTTGTCCCTACAGATGTGTGAACACCAGAGGAGCATATTACTGTATCTGTCCAAGTGGTTATAGTAACCAGTCCCGCTATTACTGCACAGGTGAGGCGAGCAAAAAGAGAGACTACTGGCTAGATTTTTTTTAATGAATAAGCATAAATTATAAAATAATTTAAATAGTTCGCGCGCTCTGATTGGCCATAAAACCATTTTACATGAGCGTATGTAAACACGGTTTTCGTTCCTCTTTCATTAGTTATTTTATAAAAGAAATGTAAAATGGTTTCCGTGTTTACATCAAGCTATGTAAACACGGAAACCATTCTACATTTCTTCATTTCAAAACGAGTCGAATACCTCCAGAGCTAATTTAGAGACCAGTCATTTTTCATCGTCGTGAGGGCAAGGGGGGGGGGGTAGAGAAGGAGGGTAGCAAATAAAATAACTGAATGTTAATTAAATGCCAGTTGGGATGGTTCATAAAAATATTAAAGAGATGTATGGGGGGGGGGGATATCAAGTAAATTTTAAAATGACACAACCGAAATCCTCGAACCCTCCCCAACCCCCCTCCCCCCTCCCCCCTCCCCCCTCCCCCCTCCACAGGTAGTTTATAATGACCGATCCCTTTGCTAACCCCAAGGTGACTTTCAACGCCGATCGCACGAACTTTACAAAAAATTGCATCTACAGAATAAAGTCGAATTGCCATTTTCTACTTTTTTTTTAAGATAATGATGAATGTCAAGCTGGGAAAGACAAGTGTAAAGACGATGAATTTTGTTTCAATACTTACGGCTATTACCAGTGTATACCAAAATTATCCTGTTCTTCAGATTACGTTCAAGTCTCTGACACGTAAGTACCAAAAGAGATTTCTTTTCACGCTCTGTTAATTATTGTTGACTGGTCGAGATCATACACTTCAAAAAATCGTTTTATAGTTTTCAGCCAATCTTTCTAAGTTTTGAACCTTTTCCATTCGTAAAGCCAATCTCGATCGTCTGATGCTCGTGTTTTCTGTTTTCAGGCGATGTGACAGAAAAAGCTGCAAAAGTGGTGACCAAGCCTGCTTTAATCAAAAGGTTCAGAAGAAGAGCCTATGGACTTTCCGGATGCGTAACAACGAAACTTCGTCAACAATCTTCAACTATCGCATTTTTACTTATGGTAAGGACTCATGGCCCTAAGGAAAACGTGGAGCTAGGCCTAGACACTAGTTTCCCAGCAAACTTTTCCGGTATTTTTCACTGAAAAGTCGGATTGTTCCCTAGACCACGAAATTGACAGATGTCTGACATTTTTCTTTTGATAAAGATCGAGTTCAAACAGTTTCCATCTATCTTGGTCCATCTCAGTCTATCTTTATCTGGTAGTATCTGGTCCTAGCAGTCTAGGTGACGCTTATCACATGGTTGCTCAGTTAAGCAAACACCGTCAGTTTTGGGTTTAAAAGCTTGTGCGTGCCTACCGAAAAAAAAACTGCAAAAACTTTTGTTATTTTCAGAATCTATACTTCAAAAGCTTTACAGTGATAGGTAGTTTTTACGGTTTCTCTTAAAGAGGCGCGCGCGTGGAACGATTTTTCTTAAAAGCACCTTATTCTGTTGACAATAACCTTAAAAATTTCTTCAATTTGGAACTACTCACCCTTCATTCCTGCCTAGCTTATTTGAGAAAATAAAGTAGGTTTCCTTAGAATTGTATTTGGAACGATTAGAGAGATTGATTGAGTTCAGAGTTTTAATCAACAGGCGTACCTTTTAGTCAGCTAGGCCTCAATGCAGAAATAACGATTGTAATTTTTTTTTGTGATTACTGCTTCCTATGGGAGGCGTAAAAATTGTACGACATCAGTAGCTACATGAAGTCTTTGACTGTGTATTTTTTCAGGAATATGTTAGCAGTGTCTTTGTTAACGTTTCGATAACTAAATTTTTTACAGGCTACAAAGTTCGACCAATGGTGAAGTTCTATTTTAATCGCGGGAATGAACTGGGGTTTTTCGAAATTCAGACGCAGGATGAAAGCAATGGGGTATCTGCTTCCATCCGAAACAAAGAGGCTATTGAGGGCCGTAGGAGGTTCATCATGGAATTCTATGGAGATGTTATTGATGCTGAGAAGGGCGAACTGGTGTCACGCTTCGAGCATCTGATGTACATTTTCGTGTCACGTTACGATTATTAACCTGCTCCAGTATGTCACGCGAAAAAAAGTCTTGACCGTCTTTTCCCTCAGTTTAAAACTGTGCTAGATAGGTTCGAAGAGATCTGGATACGAATCAATGCGTGCAAGTTGTCATGGGTATGATTGTGTTCGCGTAAAAGTAATAGGCTAAAAAAACCCCTTTCATATGTTTACCTTTGCTAATTTCAAAAGAGTTTTCACGACATAGGAGAATCTGGTACTGAGTATAACTTTGCTGGTTAATTATGTTTAAGGTATGTTTTGTTGTCAAGGTTACAGGAGTGAAGTTATGTGCGCTTATTTGTCGTTGATAGATTACATCAATATATATGCGACTTAATTGAACGAAGTTTGTAACTCAGTTATGGGCTTGCAACGTCGTTTGGGCGTAACATAAGCTCGAAAAGTATCCCTATTACTCGATAACATTTTATTGTATTTCAATAGTTTAGTTTTACCTCAACGTACTTTATATCCTCAAATTTCTTGGTCTATGTTGTCAGATTTCGTGTGATTTAGCGAGAGAATCGTAAATGCTTGCGTCAATTTCCCGACCTTAGTTTGAGGATTTCGACAAGACAGGAGTCTGTGGGGAAAAAAGGTCAATTTTTTCGTCATGCAGTTAAAATAAACTGTGGCTGAAGTTCATGACATTAGATCCAATTGGTCTCACTTTCTCATGTGTACTGAGGTGGGGAGGGGGGGGGGGAGCTGGCGTTCTAAAGCCTAAGGCACAGGAAGGTACATGAGTAAAACCGAAGAAACGGTCCTTTCTCAAGACGCGCTTCACTCAAAACCAATTCTCTGGCTAACTACCGATGCTTAACCAAGAGAAACACGACACAACGCGATTTTTGTTGAGTGTTGTGAAACCAAAATAAAAGAAATAACAGCGGCCAGTCAGAGGAAAGGAAAATACCTCTACTGGGGCCGAATATAGAAGCGATCTTCGCAGTACTGAATGCTACTTCTCGTAAGCGAAGCATTGAAATTGTACCCAAAAAATAAGTAAGATATTGTTAATTAGGGAAACGTAAATTGCACTAACTGCAAGGCTATGAAGCTGCAAGTTTAAAACGAAGGCAAGAGATTTACTTAACCAGAAACATCCTGCAGTGTTACTAAATACAAGTAAACGGAGGGCAAGGTTTTCTCTCTCAACAATTTTAAATCACCTGCAAAGCTACGCGATTGTAGCAAAGCAAAACAGAGCTATAACAAACTTTAAAGAACCTGCTAATTCTTGTGCAAAATCCCCAAATTATTCGCATCAGATAGGGGAAGTATGCTCCCGAAACTAGAACATAATTTAATTGTGAGAAATCACAACTTACCGCGTGTCAAGCTGAGATTGTTAAGATACACCCAATCTTTCGAAATTTCTCTGCATAAGATCAAATTATGGACTACACATACCGTTATTTTGAAAGCAAAGGAATAAGACTTGGCCACACACGATTGAAAAAAATGGCATGGTTTCTAGGGGGGAACGGAGTGGGGACAAGACATTTGCTGGGTGGGTCAGCCGTCGTCAAAAGAGTATTTAGAGGGGGCTATAGGAAATTGACTGCCAATTAACTGTTCATGAGGGGAGGGGAGGGAAGGGGGTGAAGGGAAACTTAAGAACATTACAGAGCCTCAAGTGGGTATCGAGTAAATTTTATCGTGACGCAATCAAAATCTCCCTACCCCTGTGCAAAATATGTATTTGTCCGACCCTATAAAAAAAATCGTTTTTGAAGATTAAGTAACGCTTAAAATAATTGAACATAGTTCAGACTCTTAAAATATCACTGGAGAGGAGTCAGTTTTGTATAGCTTAAGTAAAAGTTTACTCAACAAGCTGAGCTGACACTGACAATGTATTCTTGCGCAATTTGCTGATGGTTACAAGTGTGATCCTCGTCTACAAAGACTTTTTAAAATACTATTTACATTATAAATTTTCTCACCCGATGCAGTCGAAATCAGGTTTTTTTAAACTTCCATGTAGCACCATTTGCCGTTACTTGAGTGTGAATAAATGAGTCTACCTAAATGGTATCAAACGTACCGCTAACCGCTAACCGAGCGATTTTTCTGTGCAAATACCTCTCAAACAGACAATGATACAGGGCTGGAACGAATATTCTCTACCAAATATTTAATCATCATTTAGATGTCAAGATCTGCAGCTTTTACCAAGAGAAGTAAAGTTGGATCATTTTCCACAGCATTTCCATTGAGCCTTCAACTGCCAGCTGCTACTAACGTTTAACAACACTCCTTTAGCGTTTCCTAAAATATAGAATGAATAAAAGAAAGAGGTTTACTGGAATGAAAAATATAGGGTCCTGTCAATCATCCTAGTGTAGCCCTGGCGGTGTCATTGTGTCATGTTCTTAAAGAAAAAAAAGGGCAAGTTCCTCCTTCCGTCCAAGATGGGCGCTGAAAAGATGTCGGGATGTCAGAACGAAATTACATTGCTATACTGTACCCTACAGTTCACCAGAACCCCATTCTAAAGCAGTGGTAGTTCTCCTGGTCACCTACCCCTTTACACCTTAAGATCAGTACACATTTCCTAACGTGCTAACAAGGAGAATTTTGTGATTAAAAATCGAAGAGCTTGTTTGGTTGGTGATAATTTCCTTCATTCTCCTGACCTTAATGTGTGACACAGGGGTGACATTGTAAGGAGAAATCAGATGCTATTCACTCTTTGGGGTCAATGGTTCAATGCTGTAAAAACTCAGATAAACTAAGAAAGGGATGAAAAGTTCATCAACGAATTCGTTTAACTAACACGTAAAAGTAAAGGGTTATCCGCATACTGGAATTTTCCTTGTAGTCAAGTGATGTACTTAAACAACTGAAGATATTGAGACACATAGGCGATTTCTTAGAGGAAATTTTAAGTTCCCTCTTAAGTTAAGAATTGCAGCTGATTAGAATGAGTCCCCTTCTTTAATTAATTCTTCTTGGAACGTCATTTTTTCATAAAGAATATAAATTTGAACAACACGAACACGAAGGTTTCGTCTTCAACATCGACATCGTCATCGTCACCGTGATATGCATCTAATATGCGATATCGTCACATGCTTTGCACGGATGAAGTGCCTTGGGGACACTGCTTATTACTTAGGGGCTTACTGTGCGCAATGGACTCAACTTAAGCTCGGTTTACTCGATCTGGAACCCTTGCCACTGGTGTATTTCAAACTAAAATATTGCGATTGTGGAAGCAAAAAAATTACCTCCCCACTTTCCCTTTATGAAGTCAGATTCAGGATCACCAGTGTTGGTATGATTTTCCTCAATGGCCTTCTTCTCCACCAACAGTGGATTTCCCTTAGCGCTCTTCCAAACATTTTCTTCTATTCCGTACCAGGCTCCTTCTTTGCCTCGTTTGCGCATGTACGCCCGGTTGTTGCGCGCAATGCCATACAAGTCATTTCCAACCTGACCAATGACATATCCCACTTGTTGGTCCATAGCTAGATAGATAAATGGAAAGAAAACAATTTGGACAAAATTAATGAATAGCGCAAGTCAAAAGAACGAGTCAAGGAACCTAGCTTCGCTAAGTTTCTCTTTCAGACAAATAACTAAATATGGCATTACCCGTGTAGTAACATTATAAGAAAAAAATAAAAGAGGAAGAAAGAGGAAGTAGAGAAAAAGAGAATGGATGCCCCAAGAGGCTTTAATCAAAGCCCCAAGCACCACAAAGAGTGGAACCGTATAGTTGCAATTTTAGCGATTCACACACTTCCACTCTAATGGACTAACATCATGATCGAGTAATGCCTACAATCCCGGAGTTTCAGTGGTAGCTTAAGAATACTATGACGCCATACTCTCATCCAAGCAGACCCAAAACTAAAACTTGAAGTTGCAACATCGTCTGTCTTGCGTTCTTGCCCTTCAACTTGTCTGCTTGTTTGATCTAAAGTTCCATTGGTTCACTATGATGTTAATTATCCTTTTGATAAGGCTTTTGTTGATCTTGGTCTTTCTTTAATCTTTGGAACAATAAATGGAACAACTCTAAATTCATAACTAAACGACCTCTTAATCTCTCTCTTTCTTTACTAGAACTTTATGTAAAGGAAATTGAAGCGTATCTACTTTACCAGTCCAGGATAAACCTTGGTCGGCTGTTGAGAAGCAACTTGACTGTAACCTAAAGTAGGAAAGGAGATAACTGGAAAGCTCAGACGACTCGTATTGACACGTATGGATTGTATAAAACGGGTTTTTCATGAAGTTTCACCCTGTAAAATAAAAGTTCTCTTCCGGCGAGTAAAACCTGAGAGTCTGTAAGTGTTTTCCTGGTATTTTTTTGTGAAGGGTAGGCACATACAATTTTTGTTTTCATCTGATGGGGTATTAACGGACAAGTGACTTATATTTAGGAATTTTCATAGCGAGAGGATAAATCTTGGAGGAAGAGGCATTTTCACAGGATATATCGCTTGAGAGGGAAATAATTTAGAGGGCATCATAGCTGTGTTAACGTTTTTTCCACGTGCTGACCCCAAAGCTTTCTTAATTGAAAGCTGTGAAATCTGATGCCGGAGATTTATCTAAAAAAACGGCAATAAAGTAAACGGATTCGGATTAGCTAGTCACAGGATGTCTTTCGATGGCCAGGAGATGTTTAACTAATTAAGTCGTTTTTAGTCTGTGGTTGATCAAAAAGATAAGAAACAGCCTTTTCATCAAGGACAAACTGGAGTTGGACTGAAATCTTAAACTTGTAAAGAAAATGTATTTATAACAGACAACACTGACCTCTCGTTTGATTTCTGGCACACGTATAAGATATCATTAGTTACATCAACAAGAAATCCTCTGGTATAAATCTCTAAAATGAAAAGAGCAAACGATGGTAATTGAACTTGCTGGATTGTAATTTAGTCTGAAATCATATGCGTGATTTGAAATCACAAGTATGATCAGACCAAAATCGCATGACACGGAATTCGATAACTACTTAATACATCCGATTTGAAATCGCAAAATTTAGTCGTTCAGATACCGTTTTTTTTTATTTTGCGCAAAAGAAAGGAGACGCACCTTCTAGGGCTGGAAGGGTCTGTTCCGGAGAACTTTCACCTGAAAAGAAGAAAACGAAATTTAAACTGACTATCAAATTCGATTGTATCCGTGGAGTGTAAGTGATCACGCAAGCGATAGATTCCATCAGGCGCGGAAATATATATCCTCAGATAATTGATCCTCTGACAAAAGCGAACAGGATTCCGACAGCAAAGGAACTTGTGAGCTTCGTAGAGCAGATATACAGGAAAAGTATATGAGCATCTTTTCAAGCTGTATGGAGGCTCTAATGTTTACTATCCGTTGAAGTGCGCAGAAAGCGAAAACAGCCGCCGTCTTTTCAGAACGACTTTTAGGAAAAATAATTTTTGCCTCGTCTTCTTCTAGAAAAGCGAAACGCACTCTCAAATTTTATCGACTTTTAATGAAAAACTCATCACACTGGACGCAAGCTTTGAATATTAAAAGATATTATTTGGGGAATATTACCCCATATTTCAGTTTCAGTAAGTACATATTCCATGAAGTGAAGTGTTTAAACCATTAAATTTTACATTTTTGACTCGGGTCGCAGGATGTTTTTTAAATCAGAAACACCGAATTGATTAAGAGGAAACCGCGCGGACTAGGTATGGTGAAAATACATGTGAGGTTTTATACCAAGTAGATCCTATTACTGTCTTACCTGATGATTTGAACTTAAAAGAGACTGGTACGGGTGGAGCACCGTACACCGCCGACAGACTGTAGGGGCTGTATGTCAGCTGTATCGGCGACACAGCGTAATTTTCACCCGGGGGCATTATTCCTTTTGGATCCAGCGTCCCTTGGACTGAGAACGACAAACGGTCCAAGAAATGCAATTTCTTGTCCAGGAACTAGACACAGAGCATGCGAAGCAATCAATGACCTTCAACATTGGCAGATACTCATTGGGATTACCGGGAAGAAACAGATCGAGGTGCGTTAAAATACGTAGTAATCTATTGGACAGTTTCAAGGCAGAGGGGGGCAGGGATCTGACAGGCGTATATAGATTGTGTTTTATTTGTTTGTCCGTTCGTTCACCTCTAAACTCATTTTCAGGACGAGGCCAAGTCCAAAACCCCTCTTATGAGAATAAGTTTTAACCCGTGGGCAGAATATGAACGTGTAATCTGATCGTCCGGGGGTTGCTTCTGAGAAGCGCCGTTGTCGGTTAAGTGCCTGACACTTTGACAACCTGAGCGAGAGTTATTATAAGAGTCGAGTGAGGAGTTGTCGTTTGTAAAGTATCATAAGTGCGGTTCGTGTAATCTGATTGGTCAGTTTAGCCGTGATACTATTGGCTATAAGACTCAACCTGCGTAAGTCAGTCGTGATTGGTCAGTTTCGATCCCGTCAGTAGTGTCAGGTTATACTGTGGGCTCGTTTGTGGTGCAAATGTCATGAATAAGTCGTTTGTAAAGTGTAACGCAAACGATTTTTCCATAACATTAACACCACAAGCCTCTCTCGCTCTAAAAGCAGAGGTTTTGCATATCTCGAAAATCTTTTATGTCAGTCCTGTCGATTGTTCGTTCTTTCAGTCAACAAACGACTCCCCTGCTCATTGATTTTTCTTTTCTTTGCAGGTTGGTCGGCTCGCCGTCTCGGTTTTTCAGTGCGCTGGGTTCTTGATTATCTTATTAATTTGGTCCTTCTGCCTGTCTGTTATTCTTTCCATAATTCCGTCCATCTAAGTGTGCGTAGGTCTTTCGTTCGGTTTATCCGTGTATCCGTCGGTCTGCACGTGTGTCTGTTTGTCCGTCCGGCCATCAGTCTGTATATCAGTTCGTTTGTCTGTCTGTCTGTCTGTCTTTCTGTCGGCCGGTCTGTGTCAATCTGTCTGTCTGTTCGTCCGCCTTTCCCTCCATTATTTCGATTTTTTTTCACACTTTTGTGGCATCCTATTTTGTTCAATTATTTTATCTATCTTGCTACTTACGCTAAACTTGGGTCCTTGCTGAGTCTCGATGTAATTAATTCCAGGGTCGTAATTCGCATCAGAATAGGTAACATAAGGTGGCAGCATCCAAAACACATTAACATTTTCTGCATATTGCTGAGAGTCTTCGTGATGAGACACTGTTCCATTGAAATAAACTTTAGAGCTGAAAGGAATTCAGAAATTTTGAATCATATTGTCGATCCATAAGTCTGTTACATTTAAAGTCAGTATGGACCAGGGTTTGATTTTCTCTTCGAAATCACAAAGAGCGTTTGATATAGGTGAAAAGGTAGATTTTCATTTTAGAAGATACAGTATGAGCTAGAAACGAGAACATCTCAAGAATTCATGTGAATAGTCTGAATAGCTTTGACTTTCTTGTTAAGCTAAGTTAGATTTAAAAACTTGCTAACAATAAGAAGCTTGATAAAATTCCCCATAACAATCTTAGAGCTGGGTGGGTCTAAAGATTATGTACACCTTCGTTATCAGATCAACCTGGGCGTAGGTGAACACTTACCTACGAAACAAGTTGAACTTAAATACAGTGTACTTATTGAGTGAGACTGAAGGGCCAGACGAGAAAATATTTTGGCTCGAGGTCATGAGTTACGGCGCCGGACCGAGCGCAGCGATCTGACTCAGTCAAGCAGCATTTCATCTTACAACTACCACTCTTCCTTTCCTCTTTCAGCCCTCATATCGTGGGGCTGCACAAGGGAAGTAGGGTTCTTCTCGGAGGCGTTTGTCCGATTCTTTTCAATAAAAGCGCGCGGGGGACCGTACGGAATATATCTTATCAGACGTTCTGGTATGCAGTATCGCTGAGTATTGTTATGAGTTGTGCCGTTCGGGAACAAAATACAAACAAAGAGTGTAATCACTAAGCAATAATACACACCAAAAATTCTAATAAGTTATTTTATTATCCTCCTGCTTTTTTCTGCCAAGTGATTCCCCTCATTTCTCATAAGGCGGGAAAGCAAAACGGATAGAGAAGTGTAGTGCGCGCAGCCGCCCGGTGAAACAGGTTTTTCTACAGTACAAAATAACCAAATGTATAATATCGCAGTATATGCGTACCTTATGCGCGCATTATTTTTACTCTCCTTTATGCTGTTGGAAAATAAATTTTTAGCGCATTATGCAAGCAACAAGGGACAAAAAGCTACATACTCCATAAAGACGTTAAAAAATTTTTATCTCCGAAATCAGTCATTTTAATTACCTGTTACTCAAAGTGGTCGAATCTTTGCAAGCCAACTTTGAATCTTGCAAAAAGCAAGAAGCTTCAATCTGTAAGATTGGTCTCCTGTCTTGGGGGACGTCAGCAATGAGCGCCACATCACCAATCCACATCATGCGTTTGCCACCCCTCACCCCAACCCCCACCCAGTGCTTGGAGCCATTTGTCACGTTGGCGTGGTCGTTCACAACGATTTCAAACTCAATCTCGATCTTGTTTTCGGGAGCGTCCGAGTCTCCATATTTATTCACGACCTCACCGAAATCAATCGAACCACGATCGTGAAGTTTTGTGTCTCCAACAGTTGAGTTGAGGGTTGCCTTTACGTTGCTAAAGTCAATGCCGCTGTTGTTGACGATATTTTTCCCCACACTTTTGACTTCAAGCGAGACCAATGACATGATTGAGGTCCCGTTCACAGGAAGAATGACCTGCAACAGTGAAAGAGATTCGCTTAGCGTTGCAGTAGAGAATTGCGACTGATGAAGTGTGTCTTGGGCCAACAATCTACCTTTTCCACAAACCAATTTTTTGATGCGCTACAGAAACGCGTAAATGTAAGGTAGGTATAACTTTATCCCAGTGGGTTTGTGCGTGGTCAAAAATGAATGGTTTATGTGTTTGTTTAATTATGTTTTTGGATGTTCCAGATAGAAAATGCTGACTACTTAAGGCTAGAAAGCACGAGCTGGGCTTAATATCCTATTCTTAATCCTCTATTGAATGTGGTCAGAAAGCTGAAGGTCATTGCTTCTTACAAAATTGAGGTGGCAAAGAATTATTCCTAGCATTTACAGCTTTATTTAAGAGTTCATTTACCTCTACTTTCAAAGTGGACTTCATTTTTCGCATCAAGATGCTGAAATTAAATTTGGCGCGGCCACCTATGCGTATCTGATTGGATGAGCCGCTGAGTTTCAATGAGAATCCTGGAACCCCGGCCACGTAAGGCGGGGAAGGCTGGTGACTGGTATTGAGCTTCTCATCTCCTCTCATGTTCTGGTATTTAAGCTGCATGAAAATGTCTAGGGTCTCCAGAGGAGAGATTTTGTCACTGACTTCTAGATCAAGTTTTCCAGTAATCTCCTGGCCTAAAAGATTGGGCGTAATAAGAAAGAATGAAAATCTATCAACACTACAAGTCAAGAACAAATACTATAAGTATGCAAATTCCTTGTTATCATGGGCCGTCATGCGAGGACTGTGTTCACAAGTTGTGGAAAATGGTTGGGTTGAAATATAATTCAAAAACTTGCCAGAAGATAGTCAAATGAAAACTGTTTACAAATCTATAAAATTTATTGTTGAGTTTCATGTTGACGTGTTGCAACAATTCCTCCTTCCAGTAAATTCAATCTTTCGCATACATGAAATAAAACCATCTTAGACTTTTCAACCTCTTTAATATACCCAATGACAACATCAACTCAACTTTCAAACTTAAGAGAAAGCTTGGTTGATATTTGGAATTGATTTCTAGCTTGTCTTTCTCTAAATTAAACTTTCGCAGCGCAAGAGACATGTTAGACAAATATCGTCTTTCAGTAACTAGAGTTACTAAGGTCACGGACAGGTGACTTAAAGACATCTACATTAGATGCAGTTACAACAGAGGTTACCGAATTAAATAACACAAAAAGATACTCAAAAAGACGCCGTGTCTTTCCAGCCAGAGGTTTAAACACGAGATGGAAAGACTTTTCTTTCTAATTTTCTCCGCCCATCAGAGGGGATTGAAACGTTAATGAAAAACGGTGTAGCAAGCAGTCATACCTAGCAACTTCAAGAGAAGAAACAAGAGAAGCCCACACCATTCTGGCGTATTGTTTTACTGACTCACTGTTCTCAGGTGTGTTCTCTTGAATCGACCGGTGATGTCATAACTCCAACTTGTTTAGCGTCGTTTCTTTAAATTTTCGCTACTTTTCTCAAACCGAAATTATCATTCGCGCTCAATGAAATATAATCATTGTTCAACTGATGTTGACATCATACACTACATCTGAAGAAGAAAACGTTCCCTATCTCTGAAAATTTGCTCAAAATATCGAGAACAATAACAAAGGTCCTCATGATTAGCTGCTTGAAAATATTGTTGACTTGCATGCGTGTTGATCACTTTGCAAGTTTTGAGAACATCGTTCTTCGGTTCCAGACCCCGTCAATTTTCCCCCCTTCCCCCCTCATCCCCTCAGACTGGTCCCTTAATCCCCTTGAATAAACACTTTCGACAGCCAGTGTTGAATAGTATTATTAAAGTTTTTATCATAGTGAAGGGCTGAAAATTAAACTAACAAGATCTCCGTTTCTAGGCTTGGCTAAATCTGTATATTCTATCAACAAACTGTGGTTCTGAAACATTGTAACAGTCGACTAACCTCAACCTTAGTTTTTTTTTTTACATACCTTGTGGAAGATTCGGGACGGAGGATTCATCCGAACGAAAACCATCTATTATATTCAGGTCTTTGTTCGCGTTGCCTGACTCGTTGTAAACACCTTTCAGAATTCTGAGAGTGTTGGAATAGAATGATATTCTCACGTTTTTGGCGTCTTCATAAGACGTGTTTTCCATGTGTTTTACAACCCAGGTAACGGACACTTTGTCTCCGATCAGGTATCGATTGCTGGCAGTGTCGTTGACGGTTGTGAATTCGGCAGTTAACGATGGCTCATGCTGCTCGTTATAAGTTACAAAGGGATAAGAGAAACGCTAGTATTTAAAACTCCTTGAGTTGGTTAGAAAAATATTTATCTTGTATTTTGTCAAAAAAAGTAAAGTAGCCACTCGTCGAGATTAACCCTTCACCAACTAATATCATATTAGACAGATAGGATATATACGGGATATTGTTATATAGCTGGCAGCACCCGTGGGCAAGATGAAGCGAATCCTGTGTTCCGATAGACAAACTGTGCTAATAAGAATCCACTTAAATTTTTGGTCCATAAAAACTCAAAAAAGGGAGAGAGAAAAAAGAACTCTTCCAATACCCAGCCATCTTTACCTCACGCTTGGTCAATAACGCATACATATGACGAACTATTATGAAAAAATGCATTTTGAACTGACACACCTTGTACACAAACAGTGCCTCTTGTCCAACCCACAGCATCTGATATCCACTGCGCATGCCTGCACCTACCCAGTGTTTTGAGTTATTAGCCAGTTTAGGATGATCTTTGATGGTCACATTGAAATCTATGACAATTTTTCTCTCGGACTCATCGTTCCCGGTGACCTTCAGAGAGAAAATAAGTACAGCGAAGTTCAACACAGTTTCAAACGTAATCCTAAGCTACAGTGGTTTTGTTTTAATACGCTTTCCGGCTTGTCGTGAAAAAAAATTGTGCTGCCTTCTTAACCAATTAAATGCAAAAGTAGAATCAATTACGACTTGATCATTCAAAATTTCTTCTTCCCCTCCCCGGAGTTCTCATTAGCTCCTTCGGTTTTTTCTCTTGGGTCTGATTAGCCGTTGTGAGTACTTTCATAATGTATATTTCGCCACTCTCGATGACAATTTTCTCTAAACAGAAGTAAGATGTACATAAGCGCTACTTCGAGAAAGATGTTAAAAATAAAAAATACTGTTGGAGCACAAGCTGAAAACGCACGATCGTCACTGGTTTAAAGGTTCAATCGAGGCTTTAGGTAAAAAGTAAGAAAAATTCATCCCTTATTACCTCACTGTTCTCGTGGACCTAATTAGAGTGTGGGAAATCGCGCGTATAGGGAGAGCTTAAACCAATAGTGACATTTAGCACCAGGGTTTTCAGCGGAAACCTCGAACGACAAACCGGTGGAGGTCACGTGATCAAGCCAAGAGGTAGGTTTTCACGTAAGTGATTTAGCTGAACGTTTTTTATCCTGAATTTGTTTTTATGCCACGCACAAATCAGGAAGTTTTGTAAACCAGTCTTTTTAGAACAAGTTTAGATATATTTTTTAGCGAATGAGTGAAAATAGGACTTCTTGTTGCCATTTGAAAATCAAACACTGCTGTTGTCTGGAAATTCAATACGGCGTAAATTTGCTTGAGGTTGGAGAGGTGTAGCTAAAGCGGTAGAAGCCATAAACGTCAAACGCCAAACTCCTAACCTGAAACTGCCTTTTCAGATTTGCTGTTAATGCGAAAACCCTGGTGCTAAATGTCTCTAATTAAAACTTTTTGAGTGAGCAAAAAACTTCAACTTTTAATTAAATGTAGTTGGTATTTGAAACAAAATTTCAGACATGAAATTCTCCAGCTATGTATGTTATTTTAGCAATTGTTCGCCTCAGGTTCCGTGAATATTGTTGAATAATACTTGTGACGAAGTTGAGGGGATTATTGAGTAACATTCACTGACCTTGAGGCAAAAGATGTTTATCTTACAGAAAATATTTTTTACTTACAGTTAAGTTACCAAAATCCAGAACAGCGCGATCGTTGAAAGGTACTTCCTCGCTGGAGTCATACGAAGCTGTAGGGGGCTGAACAATTTGTGAAGCTGCAGTTTTTATGTTGGTTCCCACTCTCTTGACCATCACATTGTGCAGTTCCATGAAAGAGAAGTCGTTGATGTTGGTTGTAATCTCAACGAGCAGGGAGAAGTCCAAGTTGGGCATGGTGATGGTCATGCTATAACCTGTCGTGTTGCCCACCCACAAGTCTGCAAGTCATTTCAAAATAAAATATTACACTTATCTACCTATAGGTCTGTAGGTGATATTGGAGAGAAAATTACATTAATTCATGTTCAAGACGAATAAATGGGCAAAACTTTGAGATGTGTTGTGCCACAAATCTGGAGATTCACACCAATGCTGAGTAGTAATTACATTAAATCAATCAGTGAAATGTATCTTATTAAAGATCTGAGGATATGTTTTAAAACAACACCAGGGCAAAATGAATATCTTTATTTAGGATACACTCGATTGCAAAACTGTTAACAACTATAAAGCATGATCCATGAACAAAGATACCCTACGGACTTAGCACAGGTACATAATCAATGCTTTACTTTTTCATTATTCGTAAAAATCTTTTTTCAAGATAATTCTTTTCTTTTTAAAAGTGTGGATGATTTCTATCATTTACCACATGCATCTTGGTTATCATGTACATGTGTACCCATCAAGCGGTTGGGTCCCACTGTTCGTTGCGTATGCTTTTTAGAATCAACGTTTTTATTTGCAACAGAGTTTATGCCTCACAACTTAATAGTGCTCTTTACGTACGCTAATCGGCTGGCTAGGAAGTGATCGGTGATTAACAAGTACTATTCAGTTCCGAACAGCCGTAAAAAAGACAAAATCAAACTTCTTAAGTTTAATTTCTGACTATTTTTCTGTATTTTGACAGAAATAAGCTATTTTTTGGTTTGTTTCTGAGTGGCATGAACCAAAACAATTATTCACCTCAGTGTCGGTGAAAGTTATTCATCTCCACTTCTGTGAATAATTGTTAAATTAAATAGGCCATCTCGCACCGTCAATTCGCGAATCTCTAAGGGAAGTGATAACCAGTGATACTTACACGAATAGTCAATCCTGGACAGCGACACCGTCGGAAAAACAGCATAAAGGGTTGGTTGAGAGGAAGCAGGGCCATAGTGGTAATTACTACCACTGCCATCATTACCTGTGACCAACACAGAAAAGTAGAGATTTGCCAAAGGCTGAATCGAGCTTTTAACAGTAGCGTTGAAAGCGACGTACACCGCGGCTGCACTTGCCAGGTCTGCAATCTCGAATGAAATTGCACTTGAATTGTACCCAACTCCGTTGATAGCTCCGACCAGAGAGCCTTGCTCAGGTTCAAGAAACTGGGACCAAAGAACGACTTTAAGTTGCTTTACTAAGTCAGCGGATGCTGATTGGTTGTGAGTCAGATTAAGGGTGAACTGAATCTTGTCGCCAATGTTGTAGTAGGTGATATTATGGACCACCGGGCTTAATTCCACTTTGAGTGACTTGGACACCGTCGAAGGCTGAAAAACAGGAGTGTTGGTAAATGAAAAGTTCATCATTTGTCTCCCGATTTTGATTAATCATTTTTATTTCATAATTTATTTTGAACGTCTTAATTCTGGACTATCTCAGTGTAGATCGTTTAACTTGTGCATTTATTGATACTTCCCGATTTTTACTTGATTAATGCCAACTATACTTAGAAGGAACGTTTATTACAAACTTGTATTTGTATCAGTGAACACCTTCTTATTCAAATACATTCCGACGCCATGAGCTAATAGATGTGGCGCAATAGAAATTCTTCGTTATTACTATAGTTACTATCATCATTATTATTATTATTGTTAGAATTATTATTATTTACATATGATATGGCCCGTCTGACAATATGATGCATATCTTCATCGCAATCTTCTTCGAAGCCGTTGCTGCAAGCTGCATCTATGAAACAAAAGACTCTGTTGAGTTCATAATTAAAAAATGCTTCTTGACGAAAGAAGAAAAGAGGGGAAAAGAAAAACTAGCTTTTTGATAATGATTTCGTGTGCTGTCCTTGACATCCAATGGAAGCCATAAAGAAAAAAAAGACCTGCACATCTTACAAATGGACATGTCGTTTGCCAAGTATGGACGGATGTCAAACTCTTAGGACTAAATTGTCTGAAGCGCAGATGCGTTTTCACCCTCAATCAGTAGAAAAAACGAAGGTATGGTTTCACTCGCCTGAATTAGCAATTATCAAGGCAGTCCAGTTTTCTACATGGTGAGACATCCACGTGCGTGAATATAGAGACCAGTCATTATTCATGTTCTAAGGGGTGGGGGCCGAGAGGGCAGGGGGGCCGGAGGATTTTGAGGGGATCACATGGTTTTCAGAGGGCGAGTAGTCTTCACTAATAAAGTATTTCGGGGGGACCGTAGAAAGTTGACTGCTGATTGACTGCCAGTGAAGAGGATCATGACAATATCACTAAACCTTATGGATGTGATCGGGTAAATTTCATCACAACACAACCAAAATGCTCCTAACACCCCTCCTTGTCCTCCCCCCCCCCCCAAGTGATAAATAATAATGATCGGTCACTAAGTGGGTTCATTCAGAAACGCTTCTTGAATCAAGTTGATTCTTATTTATTAACTCCGTTTCTCCTCTTAATTTGAGATGAAAACCATTATTTGGCAAGCACTACTGAGTCGACGAAAGAAGAATACTTTAACTGAAAGGGTTACTCTTACGTACACTTTGTTTGGCTTACTTCTTACATTTTTATGGCAACCTAAATTGGCAGTCGACCAATAGCCGGGGTAAAGCATCTCTGACACCGTAGAAAAAAATGCAGCGGAAATGTTTTATACTAAAAGTGTTTGTTTGAAATCCTTTTCGGAATTAAAATCAATTGCCAAACCTTTAAAGATAACTTCTCCTAGGTGAACTGCATCCTCCTTCATCGAGGGACATTTTGTCAAGAGAGCCGATTACGTTTATTCATCTTTGAAACAAAGTTTTGCCAATCGGTGCAGACATTTTCACCTACTGGGTTTATGCTCCCTCAAACGAAGTGAAAATATTTCAAATTTACGCGCGAATTACTGAAAAATCCCCTTTGGAAAAGTTCTCTATAGCAAAAACATATAAGCATGCAAATCTTCGTCCCTGTCTCGTTCATATTGTATTTCAAGCTGAAGCACGGCTGCAACTGGGAAGAATTTCGGTCAGGAATAAATATCCTTTCTTCTTCTTCAAGTTAGAGTCTACAATTTTCATCTGCTAATTAAGAGCAAAGTCTCTCCTCCCCTTTTCACCTTTTAAACAGTTTCTTGTTTCTTCACTTCAGGAAAAAAAGACGCTATTTTCTTTATTCCAAGGTAAAATTAATAATGTCGGCCATCTTCTTGACGAAACGTTGTAGCGGTGCAAGAATAGCCTTGAATCTTGGTCCAAGAATAGTCTTTTTTCAGAGTTTGATTGCACCATGTTCATTGCTCGGCCGACTTCAATTTACTTTTGAATACGGAGGATCCCTAACTACGTCTTTTAGAACTTAACTTGTTTTTATGAAAGCTGCGACAAACCAAATATTTGTGGTGAACAAGTTATATCTGCTAAGCTCAGCTCAGAGAAGATTGGTACAACGTTATATTGAACAAACGTTCTAAACATACTGAACTCTTAACCGTCTTAGTTCATTCAGACGAAGTTCATCACCGATTTTGAAAGAAAACCATTTCAAAGCCTCCCGCTAATACTAACTAAGATAAACGGCACAAAAATATCACACAAAAGATATAGCTTTACAGGAAAGGAAAGTCGCTATGAATCCCGGACATTTTCACGAACGTCTTGAGTGTTGAAGACAGCTCACCAGTTCAAATTATAATAACAATTTTGTAAACTTTACATCGCAAAACCAGTCGCAGTTATGATCTGTCAACAAAGATTTCGGATGATACTGGCTTAGAGAAGAAGAAAATGGCTTTTTCAGTTTATTTCGAGGCCTAACATCATAAAATTATGCAGAGGGAAACTTTTGTGGATATGATATGATTCCGCTTGGAAAAAAACTTAAAATCAACAATTTATTCTTTGTATTATAAAGGTGTTGCAAGGCAGTCCTCTGTTTGTATGAAAATTGCTCCATTATCTTCATAAAGCATGGATGAGATAAAAATCTTAGTATCTTCTGAATCTTTGGATTCAGTTTTAAACTGGCCTTTAGAACACCGCATAAGCTCAGCGTCTTCGGGCTTCAAATATATTACACATCAGGGGCTCTTCGCCTATCACTCGTTAATAATGTATAACAACAGAAAATTATACTAAGTCACGGCCGATTATGCAGTATTTTCCCCTCTCTACGGAAATTGAAGCTGTGCGTCGACTAGGAACATCATAAAGTTCGATATAAACTTGTGCTCTTTTAGATGCGATATTTCATAAGAACAGAAGTAGCGCCTTTCGAAAGCGGGATTCCATGCTGGCCATACATAGAATGCACCCTTTTCTTGTCAGTTAAGAAGTTAAATATTTTTCACACGTAAAACAAAAACATCTGTTGGATTTATAATGGAAATTCAACAAGGTTTCTTCTTGTTTCAGACTTCGGATAACGGAAAATTAAAATTTCATGTTGAATTTAAAAATTTTTCCTGGAGCTCGAGAAACTAGTTAAGATTTGATGCTGAATGTCGACTCCATGAAATATCTTAAACTCGCTTCTGTAGTATAACGTTCACCAACGGACCAAGATTTATTACATCGCAATCTTTTTCGCATTTTGTTTGACTATAATTCGTAATTTCTGGATTGTTATAGCAATAAAAACCGGCGTGAAATGGCATCTGCGGCTGTAAAATTTCGATAAATTGCGGTCAAGGATTAATGTAAAATTTCCCTAATGTCCCTCGAGGATTAAGCTTAGATACAAGAACAGAATTATCGCTTTTATACTTACGTGCGATAGGTCTTCCGGCAAAGAATAGAGTTGAAAAACAACAAAAAAGGAGATGAATTCCCCAAAACGAGAAGATACCCGCGTTCATCTTTCAGTTATGCCCTGAGAAAAAGCGCTATCAAACCATGAAGAAATTTTTCTCGAAATGTTCTTTACTTTCACCTGTTCACTGCTCTATCGGACAAATCTTCGCTTGGAGAGATGTCCAAGACTTAGGTTATAAGAAGGCTGTCTTTGGCCTCCTATTGGATGATTCTGACACTTGGCAATTTCTAGAAATTTAAATTTCAAAGGCGAGTCAACAAAAGATATGCAAATCCCTCGGCCGTTCACGCTTGTATAAACAAACTGAAAAAAATTCGGTGATATTTAGCGAATTGTCCGGTTTCATCTCATGGTTTCAAAAGTACAACGGAAAAAATACGGATTATTTTTACAGTAGCTTTGAATGAAACTCGTGAAACGAATTCGAAGTTATACTAATACAGCTGTATAACTAGGCTCGTATCCTAATAAAACCGAAGGTTTTGTTAACAGCTTTAGAGGGTAAATTACACAGCTAAAATTAATTGACCAATGATTGGTTACTAAGGAACGGAATGGCCTGTTTTAAAATGAAACAAAAAAGCTCCCTCCTGTCCTCAAGTTAACTTGGACGCATCGGGTGGCCTCTTAGAGAAAAGTCAAGGATAAATGAATAAATCATTCAATAATCTGACTGTGTAAAGCATTTTGGTTATAAAAAGATCGAAAATCGAATTCTGGTGTTTATCACTTTTTTGGTAAAGAACCATTTAAAGTCTAACTGAGAAAATTCTTTCTTAAAAGTTTTTTTTTATATTGAATATCGACAAAAGTTTAAGAAAAATTGGCGTCCTACATAGATAATTCATCATGTCAGATTTCTTTTAAGAAAATGAATTGATCGGATGTTTTCATCTGATGAAGAAGAAGAAGAAGCTTGCATATGATGAAATTAACCCACCCTCTCCGGCTAACTAACCTCCCGTATGAAGCTTCCATAAAGTTCTTATGCACCTTCCATCTCTCTTTTACCATTGGAAAAATACTCACTACGTAGTGCGACAAAACAAAAAAAAAACTTGCTGTATAAAAAAGCCTCTGTCTGCCAAAAAACCCGGTTAAAGTTAAGGATCGCAGTTTAGCTTTTAAGTGATGTAGGTTTTCAACCAAAGAAAACTGGGAAACGTTTCAAGGAAAAAATGATAACTCGTTAACTTCTCTTCTCCTTAAGATTTAAATGAAACCCTCTCCCCCAGATTCTCCCTTCGAAAGTCCGCGAAATGTTGATAGCCCCCACACCCCCTCCCCCCAACCCTTCCCTATTTGAGAGCATTCCCGTACTCGGACATTAATTTTGTTTCAAAACACCACGGGAGTTATCATGTAGATGAAACAGGGAATGTGACAAACTTACCGAACTCGAATCTCCTCGGCATCTTGTTCATAAACAGCTGGTGAACACAGATGATTTAGCTCGAAAATGGTTTACTTTGCGGCCTTGTTGACATCTGGAACAAAAAATAAAAAGCTTAAAAATTCGACGACGTAACGTCTTACAATTATTGCTTTTCATGAGTTTACTAGGTCTCAAAAAACCAGCTTCCAAGTATTTCGAATAGACATACTAACACAGACTTTCAAAATAGCAAAATCTCGCTTATCTGGAAAATGTGAGGAGATAGTTTTGCAGCTTGTTTAGCGAGATTCGGCAATCAATAAGAAATATTGCGGGTGGTAATCTTTTAGAGAAGTTTTTAGGCCGTAGGCTAAGGAATGACCGTCACAAGTTGTTTATCTTGAGATCGCAGTAATGGCAAAATACTTTGAGAAACATTTTACAATTCGTCCCGTCTCCGCGACATTTGTTCTCCTTCCCCAGTTGATACGTTCAAGCGCTGAAACGTTACTTCCTAAATCTATTCGTGTTTTTTTATACTTTAATTCTTTAAATTTCAAAGTAGGTGCTTTCTGACTTGTTAATTTCTACATTTTCAAAATTTGCCGAATATGTTTGCTACGTGTTGCGGACCTACTTAAAATTTTATGCAAGTTACGGGAGATTGGGGCGAGTATACAGTTTACAATGCATCATGGTATGCAAATGTTTCCTAGCAACCGTGCAAAGCAAAGGAGATGGTTACAAAAGGCAAGCAACAAAGAACTCAGTACTAATACAGGGAGAAAACATTACGAGAATCGACGTTTTAGCAGGATTGCAGTTTTTTAAAGATCTTAAGAAGGAAGAGAAATGTATAAACTCGACCTTCCCGTAGATATGAAGGAGAGCGCTGCCATAGAGAGGCGACGGAATCGAGAATTGCAGCGCCAAAGTAGGATTTTCAACGCTCGTGTTCGAACCATTGGGGTAAGTGTTTATTTCTTGTAGATGTGGATGGTAACAATGCTGATAATAAGAAAGTGAGGCAAAGAGACAAGTAAAAACGTTGTTTTGATTTTAGTCAAGCAAGAGTAGTGTTTCCTATGACTTTGTTTTCGTATTTGTCTGAATTCTCTTGTTTTTCTGACGGAGAACGCGAAACTGGGTTTAGAAATGAACACCTATTGAAATTGGTCTGATCTGAACCACCTGTAGAACCACATCAGCTAGACTACACACGTATGATTGCTTGTGGGTGTTTTTATACCGTTGAAACATTCTCAAGAATTTTACGTGTTTTTATTACCTTAAGATTGACTTGAATGCACTCAACGAGCAAGTGCAAGATCGTACACGACGCGAAGTTGAAGAGGAGAGGCGACATAATGCGTTCGGTAAGTCTCAATTTCCTGAAATGTCAGACAGTTGCAAACGAAAAACATTCCCTACACATGGCGACGATCTTTCCTTTTTGTACTGTTAGAGGTAACAATATCAACTATTAGGTTGTCATTATAACAGCAAGGTTTCTGGCTTAGGTAACTCGGATGGCCGATTACGAATTCGCCAGTAAGCGCGGCAAGTAGACTGGCCCGTTAAATAGCAAAAACTAAATTGGTGCTTCTCAGCCAATCAAACTTTTAATCAGAGTTGATAACTTTTTTCGGACGTTAACGTGGCTATCAGTAAATCAGCGACAGATGAACATACGAAATAGTACCTGTGTTTCTGTAGTTATTTTAGATCATGTGTGCAGTGCAGATAGGCAGGCTAATTTGAAAGAAAAAAAAAACCTGTAGTAATGTGCCATCAGGTAGCCTGGGTTGATAAGCATTTCTATCCAAAATCTTTTAACAAGATGACAGGAGATTAAGTGGGGTGGGAGCTCAAGGACAGTGACAGCCACTAGTCAAGATGTGTGTTGAAATGTCTTTACCCTTTAACTCACAGTAGTGATTAACATGAAACTTCTCCCAATAATATCCATACTTTATTCAGCAAATAGGTAATGAGAATATTCAAGCTTATCAGGTAGAAACAGCTATCTTGATCTAGCACCAAGTTCCCATAACTTATTTACAAGGAAATATGTAGCAGCTAGAGGGAAGAGTTAATAGTCAGATCTTGGGAGTTAAAGGGTTAAGGTGTCAACCTACTATCAGGTCATTGAGACATGGGATAACTTCTGGGTGATTGTTGGTCGACTGCTAATTAATATACTGACCAAGGCTATTAATAGTGCACATGATGGATGCTCTACCTTGACTGAAATATTCTTCTTTGTGATGATTACAGCTGCTGACATGACAAGAAACGATAAAATCACTGTCTTGCTTCAGAAGCGTCAGGAACATGACATGCGTGAGTTGAATAAGGCTGTGAATGAATTCCGTCAATCTTACCAGCAGCCATATGATAGACGTGAATTTGACTTGAATGATCCGGATAGTTTGAAGAAAGACAAACCTGCCAGGGTATCTGATGATGACCCTCGTTGTGGGGTGGCATCACTTCAGAAGTTTGTTGGGGAAGATTTGAATGGCAAGGCACGTGAAAAGTTACAGCAAGAACAAGCACGGTAAGGGATAATATTTAAGTAGAGAGGGTTAGTGACTTTTATTTATGTTATATCAAGACTGATGTACATTAAAAGATCAAAACAGACCAGCAAATTTCATAACAGTAAGGCAAGTTGCTCAATGTTACAGAACAATTATGTAGGGTTGTTCAGAAATTTGATGCAATAGTTATCATGAATCCTGTGTTTGTGACTCTTTGATAGTTAAAATTTTAATATCCCTTTCTGAATTTATAGGGAATGGATCAAGCAACAAACAAATGAGAAAGATCAAGCTTTGGCAAATCAGACGTATGCAGACCATCTTTATGATTTAAAGGCAAGAGAAATGGACCAAAGAGCTTGTGAACTTGCCAGTGCTGAAGCAGATTGCAGGCGTGCAATAAATATGGCAACTAAAGATATGAATCAAGCTTTGGCAAGAGAAAGGAAGGCTAAAGAAGATGCAGATAAACAACAGGAACAAGATGACAACTTTACTGAAATATCAAACTCTGTGTTTGGTGACGTGTTGACAGAAAATCCTGATGTGGCCCAGAGTGCCTTTGGACCTCACAGGGTGATCACTGATCGCTGGAAGGGTATGAGCCCAGCTCAACTGGCAGAGATAAGACGTATTCAACAAGCGCAGGTGGAGGAGAAGGAGGTTAGTGTGATTTAGTGTACAGGAAACTTTTGATCAACATCCTTGATAAGTTCTTGGAAAATCTTAAAATTTGATTGTCAAACATCAATACTCAAAACTTGAACTTCTAAACTCACTTTGATTGTTGACAATAGCAAATTCAAGTTTTGAGCTGAGATTGTTAATTTACAGTAGGTATTCTTTTGAGCAGTAGTTACAAGCATATCTATTATGGGCTCTCAAAGTCTAAAGATAATTAAAGTAAATTTCAGACTTACAAGGGAACTTTTAAGACATGTTTGTTCATGACTTATGCTATCATCAGCTTAATGTGTTTATTATTGATGTTGTCTGTAGAGACTGAAACAAGAGGAGGAAGAGCAGGAAAAAGAATACAACAGATTAAGGTTGACGCAAGCTAAGGCAGGAATAATAGCAGAACGTGGAATTGAAAGAAAGAAAAAGGAGATTGAAAAGGACCAGGCAGATGAGAACAGAAGACTGGCAGCTGAACAAAGAGCCAAGTAAGTTTTCCAGTAATTCAAAAGTTCAAAGCTATAATACAAAGGCAGCCATGGTTACCCCACTTGTACCTTAACTGAGACATTTACTAGTTGTTGGCAAGACTGAAGTTTTACCACTCGGAGGTTGATCTTGCTATGATTAAACTTTGGTAACAGGTCCTTATTCTTTAAAACAGAGGTGGTTCTTATGTGGGTGGATTTGGTGGGAATGGCTGCGTGCACATGATGCCTTTGTCCACTTTCCAAAGGCAGGCCACAGCTATTTTTGTTTTTGCCTGTTTTGGCAAGAAGTGTGGGAACTGATATGTGCAGAGCTTACAGCTCTAATTGCATGTGTTTTGGAGGACCATCTTGGAGAAATAAAGGTCTTTGAAAAGACTAGCTTGCTGCATTTAGTTTTCATCTTAAGTTTACAAGTACAAGTACCAAAAAAAGAAAGATAAAGGCAACAGATGTTGGATAAGAGTTCTCAACAAAGTTGCCTGAAAACTGAGACTTATGTCCTTTGCTTTTCCTTACAGAATGGATTATCTTGACAAAGAAGTTTACACCAATCCCCCTACAGCAGCTTACTTTATGCAGTATAACACAACAAGTAGATGAGGACCTCTCAATACTTTATGAAAAGCTGTAATGATAATGCATAAAAATATTAGGGAAACATGCACTTAATTGTAAACAACTTTTCCAGCTCCACAAAATGGAAATGTTAAGGAGTTTTATGCAGTTGTCAAAATTTTATTGACATTTCAAATGTACTATATTTCCTTCTAACCTGTCTTGGTTGTACTGTACATTTAGTTTCTAGTATGTTAAATTCATTTAATAAAGAGAGTCTGTTATGACGTATGACACTAATAGAAATGTGATTTGTCCACCACTTATTTAAAGGGTGTACAAAAAAATTCTTGAGTAACTTCTTAATAGATGTATAGATTCTCCTTGCATATCATCTAGTAATCTTGTGTGAAACAGAGGGAGAAGTAGATAGTGCATCAGAAGCCAGCAGAAGTATTACTCTGCACATTCTTTTACCCCCTTGAGTCCTACGAAACACATATTATTTCTCCTTACAATATCACCCCTAAATCAAACATTAAGGTCATGATCACAAACCAAAGAAGCTCGGAGAGTATTAATGTCTTACCATTAACAACAATTTAAATGAACTTCAGGTCAACTTTATTTTAAACTCAATTTGCATGTCTGAAATTTGAGTTTCATAATCTTGAAACAAATACCTCAAAACAACAACTGAAGCTACTTCGGAAACATTCAATCATGAAAATTCCTCTAACCACAATATCTCCACTAAACTTTTTATGTACACCATTTCATTTAACATATTCACAAAGTGAACAATAATTGGTAATAAATCAACAAAAATAATTTAATAGATTACATTAAGTTAAAAATTTTTGACACCTGAATAGTTTCTAGAAATGACTAGAGGTTAAATCAACACTGTTGATTTGACTAGAATGAGACTTTGAAATATACCTGTAATACAATAAAATTTGTATTCATATTTACATCAAACTTATTATTTAGTCTTAACACAAAAAGCCCAGTTCAGTGCTGCCATGAAAATATCCTGTTTACATTGAAGAGCTTGCTACTGACTAAACTGTACAGTAACAAATCTCTGCTAAGATTTATGAACCCAGAACAAGGATCTCAAAAATGCGAACGGAAAAAAAAAAAAAAGGGTCTATTATTTACAGAAGAGATAGAGAAAATGAGTTAGTTAATAGCAAGATATTTATCATTCATATCTCTGGATTCAAATGGAGGGGAAATATTTCATTTCAAATAACCTTTTGAATTTAGCATTGAGGCCATACAATACAATATGGCCTACTAAATTGACTAATCATAGTGCAAATACTAACTGAGATCATGATACAATAATAAATTTAATAAATTTCAATATCAAGTCTAAGGTCTGCCAAAATTTCTCAGGTTTCACAAGTTGATTGTTTCATTTTTAATATCCACCAAAACTTCAGTTGTAAACTTAAAATGTAGGTTAATGTTGAAGTTCCATCATGTTCAATTTTACAAGCTAATACTTTAGCAGAAGTAACATTTAACTATATGTTCACTTAATAATTTGTGGAACGTGAACTTGTAATTCCCAATTACAGATCATTCTGGAAAGTATTGTAGGTTGTTCGACTGTCACTCTTGTTTTTGTTGACCCTTGGCCCTTAGGAGAAATAAAATAAGATCTTTGGTATCAAAACTATTTTATTTTAAATTTATATCAAGTGCCTCTTTGCCCATGAGATTGTAAGAGCCCAAACTGGAAATAGCTGTTTACCTTTAACCCCTAAGAGTGACCAGCATCTTATTTCTCCTTACAATATCACCCTTGAATCACACATAAAGGTTATGAGAATAAAAGATATGATCACCAACTAGGGAAGCTCTTGATTGTTCGCCAAATTCTCCTAGTCAATGCCTTAAAAAATTTACTGAGAACAGTATGGAGAATATGCACCCTGACCTTATGGTGTAAAGGGTTAAAGGTTGAAATTTCAGATGCTTTCCTGAGCATACAACAAAAATAGAACCCTTAAGGTAATACACTGTACCTTTGTGATCTTATATCAATACTCTCAACTGAGAATCAAGTCTGCCTTTTACACTAACTAAAGGTAACAATTAAAATTTTGAATGAATATCGGAGTTACTGTTCAAAATCTATTTAATAAGTCCAACTTAGAGGCTGAGCTAACTGTGATCTGTAATCCTGCAAGTGCCATTTTTGGGTCAATAACATTTTAATGAATTTCCCTTTACAATATTAATACATTTTCATACAGAAAAGTGGTCACAAATACCAGTAAGGGTTATATCGACTGGGGTCAATTGCTTTATTTAATAACAATTTATGGAAGCTATAATTGTAAGAAGCACATTACACTGTATAGAAAATTAATATTTAAATCTTGGGAGTGAAAGAGATGAAAAATTCATAACTTGCATTTTACTGTGAGAAACATACCCGACTCAGAATAATTGCAGCTTATAAGGCCCTGTTCTTTTAAGTTCAGGATAGAGTCTGCAATAATTCTTGCAGTTCTCCTCTGCAACAAAAAAAAGACCACATGATCATTGTTATTAGTCATTTTGCAGTGAATTTCTTTTGACCAACCTTAATCAAATGACAAAATTAAGGACAAATATAATTACAGTTAAATAGTTAGAAAGCTACTTTAACCCTAATAATTTCAATTTCAAGTAGTTATTTATTTCATGACTTGCCTGATATCCTCCAGAGGTCAACATAAAGATTGGAATGTCTCTCTTTCGAGCTTCTTGAAAAACAATTTGATCTCTCTCAATGATTCCCTACAAGGTAAAAATAGTTGTTTTCTAAATTTTTTACATGAAATGTTTATCACTTACAGTGTATCAGCTTTGTATAACTCAGGAGCTAACAGCCAGGGTTTTGCCTCACCCCCCCAATAAAGAACAATATAAGAACTGTTTTGGATCATCATATTGAGAAAATGATTTATTGTCCATGCAACTGCACAAAGTTGGATTATAATAAAATGGTTCTTTTGTCCTGTAAAAAAAACCTGTACAACAGGTTGGCTCAATGATAAGAAAAATACACCAAGAGATATTTGTTCCCACTCTGATACATGTAACAATGCACAACATGTATATATTGATCCATTGTTACCATTAATTCTGACTTTCAACAGAACATCTTCAAATTCAACTTTCACATACCTGAGGTGTTATTGCCAAGTTACCAAGAGGATCCCCAATAAGAATATCTGTCCCTGCAAAAGATAGAATCTACATGAACATGTTTTTAAAGAATTTCAAAAAAAGTTTAAAAATGAAATATGCTTTTTTTAACCATTGGTTTTTCTTTTGTGTTCCTAAAAGGCCACCAGCACCCCCCAATTCCCTCACCCCACCCCATTTCCCAGCATGGTCCAGTCCAAAGGTAAAAAGAAATCAACAATAAAGTTAAGTTGGTCTCACACAAAATTCAGAAAAAAATTAACTCCAAATGAGCCCAGAATAATTTTTGCGTAGCTTAGCCTCTTACTGATAACATTAAAAACCAACCCTTCACTTTTTTTCTTGTTTAAATTGGAAGTTCAAAAACTGAATTAACATGAATTAACATATTTTATTATATATTTGCCTGTCTATTCAAGTTGACACTTAACAGTACCTGGTCAGGTATTGCTGCCTTAAGCTCACCTGCATTATATGCTATGACATCAGGATTAAATTCATTTAAAGCTTCTGGTATGTGCCTTGAACAAAGGATTAAAGGTGTGTGATTATTTATGAAGTCATCTATATGTTACAAGAGTGCACTTCCACACATATTTAGGCAGACTTTCATACCCCTACAACTGCCACTATTACATGTACTTGAAAAAAGGAAATAAATCTTTTTGATCACAAGGAGGCAAATAAGCCAAAAATTAAGAAGCAGAGGTACATTCAAGTAGTGTTGGAACCTGTAAGCATGACTAGGTGTGACTAGGCATGATGCACTGATGTACGCACGCATAGCCTTATGGGCTGTGCAACCTTGTGGTTCTGTTTTTCTTTGAAAGAAATCCTTGCTTGTGTTGTGTTTTGTAAGTACAGTCCCAAGTTGTAAGATTAAAATGTTCATATTGGAACTTTAAGTGGACCTAAAATACTTTCCAATAAGTTGAATAAATTAAGAATGGTTCCCTTACTTCTTTAATAATGGAATGTATGTTTCATCATCTGTGTGATGTCTTAGCTCCAAATTTTTCTTTATTGCTCCTGTGGAAAAATGATTTGAAATCAACAATTAATACATGCTTATGCATAGGGTCATCATTTTGAGCAGTTAAAATGATGCACAGAAGTTGCTCAAGGCATAACCCCAGGGCAGCTCTTCCTTCTTGGGTTTTCTTTAAACTTATCATTACCAGTGCTTTCTTCCTCGATAAAAGCATAACTAACCCATAAACAAATTGCTTTAAAGATTATTAGCACATTATTTAATTGTTTTATCAAAAGAAATACCCTCTGCTGCACCTTAACAGGCACCCATTATCATTAGACAGAGAAACTATTTAATTAATTGGATTCTCAGAAACATCATTGAATTTGATTACAATGTATGCTAGTTTATTAGCAATGTTGTAATGAAAAATATACCAGTAGTAGCTTTCTCTCTAAACAAACTCTCTATCCCCATCTTCACCTGAATTTTCTATGAGAACAGGACTCCTAACATCCCTACCCCCCAAAGGAATCTTTTTTTTCAGATACTTGAACATCTAAAGGAATATCCTGTTTTGGAATAATTGTGGTTGTAAACCCAGAGTAATTCCTTTTTTATTTCAGACATCATCAGTACAATAACTAGACAGTGTCTTACCTTTGACTTTGGTATCCCCAGGGTAAATGTAAGCATTATAGACATCTATGATATACACCTGTTCATCTCCATCAAAATCAGCTTCATGACCATTACCCTGACACAAACAATGATATAAACAATTCAACAACTGGTCATGGGTATTGCCAGAAGCATATAACATACCTCTAATTATAATAAACATAATACCCTGTAACTCTTCCATGACGGCAGCATGATTATTATTCTTTTCTATGCATGCAACTGAGTTAGCCTTCTTGACCTCCCTTGCCAAATTCTTTGAGGAAGTAAATACAAGTTCACTTCTTATCTCTGTTTTCTCAGGCATCACCATCATAACATATCAAACTTCTTACTTAAATTGATGGACTTAGAGGAATTCCATAAACTAAGAACTGTTTTTCTCCATAAGATAAAAAAATACCTGATGGGCATCAAGATCAATGATCATAGCTTTATTAATGCTGTCCACATGCTTGAAAAGAAACTAAAACAAACAGAAAAACAACCACTGACAATTAAATCTACATAAATATCAACCATACACATTTATAACCCTTTCACTCCCAGAAGTAATTAACAAATACCTTCTCCCTACAGCACCCATGCACTATCCCCAGCAAACAGGTTATGAAAATACTCAAATGTACCAGATAGAAGTTGGTATCTTGATCTAACACCAAATTCTCACAAATTATTTTCAAGGAAATGTGTAGCAGTGAGAAGGGAGAATTAACAATTAGATCTTGAGATTAGTGACCTTAAACGTTCTTAATGATCCTACACAATTTGCACTTGCATGTTATACTCAATCAAGTTTCAGATGCATCATGTCATCTCAACAATAAATTTGCATATACAGGGTGTGAAATTGCGCCTAATACAGGCGCCAATGCGACTAAATTTTTCACTTTGGCGACCAAATCCTGAAAGTTAGTCGCCAAATTGGCGACTAGAACGT